AACAGTGGCTGAATGGTAATGTGCTGGCCACAGAACCTGAAGGTTGCGGGTTCCATCCCTGGTGAGGTCATGGATGCGTACTGCTGAGGAGTCCTATACTAGGACGAAACAGCTGTCCAGTGCTGCCAGGTTTCCTTTTTTCCTCCAACTGATGTCAGTCTACGATGAATAACAACTTGGAAGTATCATTTTTTTCTTTGGGGTTGAACATCAAGAAAACGGAACATTGAGTTTGATTCTAATTTTAGAGTGAATTTAGTTGAAGGTTAAGTGTTGTTGAAAGTATGAAACAGATTTGCAAGATTCATATTTTCGTCACAAATAATAAAGGTATCATCAGTGTATCTTTTGTAAACATGAAATTCATTGGTTGTTGATGATAAGTTGGTGTTTTTCAGGCTTGAATATCATAGATTCTTGAAATGATTCCCATGCTATGTAAACTCCAAGTTATTAGCTGTTTAGCTCTTTTTCTAGCCTCCCTTTACTAACATGAAAGTAGATTTTCACCAGATATTTTGGGAGGAGAATGTAGGCATATGAGATTTTAGTCAACACATCATACTATAAGCATAAACATACACTTTTAAAATTTGCGCTGTAACCATTCGTCCAAAAACTTTTCGTCTAATGACCTGACCTATTTTTTTTTCTACTGAATAACTGAAATATTCATATTATACTTGTGCGTGTATGTGAATATAGAAATTTTTTCTTGATTTCACTAACTTTTGATTCCACTTTACTTCCGGTCTTTTGGTTAACTAAGTTGTATAGTCACTACTAATGCTGCTACTGATAATACTAGTGACATTATTATAAAGACTAATTTTGTAATATTATGTATTAAATTGATCTCTACCATATAGATTTGTAGAGTGAAAAACATTAATTTATCTACCATGCGTTACACAATATATAGACTGATGTATGTCTTATGTATGCATAGGTGGGTGCATGCTTGAAAGCAAACCCTAGCGCATGCGTAGCTTTCTTCTCAGTCTTTCTTAACTCTTTTCTTCTTCGTTTCTTTTTTACATCTCATTCCGTCTCCCTTTTTCTTGTTTCCTTTTAAAACAGGGTAATTATAGGCCCTCAAGGTTTTTGTTTCTTTCTACCTTTCAGGGTTGTTTTTTTTCTGTTATCCTTATTTCAGTTGTGTTCAGCAACTTGTTCTTGTTCTGTTCTCCTTTGGTCTTCTGAAAATTAGTCTACTACTGAACTTAAGGTCTTACTGTCTGTGTGTGTGCGTGTGTGCGTGCGTTTGTGCGTTGAATTACCTAGATTAGGAAAGCATATCAACAACCAAATATTTTTTACTTTGGGTCACATATGCTAAACTGGAAAGTATGCACCACCTAAAAAAAAGATTACATGTTAACAAGAAAGCAGAATCCTTTCCTCTGTTTTCTCTTGAAAGTTTTCTGCAAACCTTCAAAAAAAAAGTTATTTTCGACACAGCCAATAAATTCAGGTGAAAATGCCTTGTTGTCTTTGAATTAATATAGAGGCATTGAGAAGATTATGTATGCTTCTTATCGTAACTGTTGCCAGTTTTCCCTACTATCTTTGTTCTTTTCTACTTGGATTTAGTTTAATCACGCAAATTATTATTATCATTATTTTATTATGAAAAACCGATAACCTGATGTGATGAACCTTGCTGATATTCTGAATGAATGAATTCTCTTATTACTTGTCGATACTTGTAATCCTCCGTTGTTAAACTGAATACAACTGATCAACCTGTTGGCATATTGGCTTCTATGTGGGCGCCTCGATTTTATCTGAATATTTATTGTTACGATTGATTTGGTTGTGGCTATTGATGGAGTCGAGGATGCATGTTTCATCCTATTTGGGACTCATCAGCTGGATGTACCTGCCTCCCAGTGAACGATGTTCCCACTAGGGCTCCAACTCAAGACCGAACACTTCAAACGCCAGAACATTATCCCCTGGATCACCGAGTCATGTTAGACACTTCTTGTGCGACGGGGATAGTTTCGATGTTGTTGCTTCTATAATCCTAAAATGCACGTCCTGGATTCCACTGTTAGCCCCTATCCATCATTAATATATTAATGAAAAACAGGCAATATCAAGTTATCCACGCAGGAGCCAATATGCCAATCTAGTTCATCCAACGATGGGATAATACAAGCAACAACATTAATATATAGAATGGTTCATAGAAAGTATATCATTTTGGGGGTTTGTGGGGATTTATTGATTTCAAACTGGTATTCATCACGGACATTGAAAACTTGATGTCACTTGATGTCAGTCCATGACGAATATCAAATTGGAATGTATATCACTCAGAAAGGGTTGTAAAATTAATGAAAGTATTACGTATCAAGGAAAGACTTGAGCACTATTGTAGAATGTAATTACATTTTAACTGATCCATCAAATTTACCACACAGCCAAACAGTATCATTTACTGGATTATGTTTCGGACACAACTTACTGTCTATAGTCATATCAAGATAGCTAAATAACGTTGAGATATCCTTTGTATTGTCTCACTTTCCTCGCTTCCTTTGCGATATGTGTGGTAGGATTTTCCATATATCCAGAAGAAGTGCTGAATCTTCCCTGTTGCATTCATTAGGTATTGATTCCATGAACAAAGATTCAATTATCAATCTCTCCCTCCATCCCGCTATGTTACTTGTAAATAATACGCTTTCACCATTATATAAGTGGAATTTTTAATATAATCCCGGTGTGTTTAGAAAATTAAATACTGTCCCACTGCGTGATACATCTAATAAATCAACTACAATGTAAGGCATTATGTTATGAGATTGGACAAGTTGGTTAAGATGAAATCAATGTTTTCTGAAAATATTAAGACAATTAAGTGAAATAACACCGGAAACTAATCAAGGTGAAGTTAATTATATCAATAATAATAGTGATAAAGGAAGGATATAAGGATTAATTCAACAAAAAGGTGGGTGGGGGGCACTAAAGGGGGTAGGAAAATGTTATGATCATGGTAAAAATAGGAACTGTTTCAGCTCATAAATAGTTAAGGCCTCCGCTGTTTTAAGGCGAAGAAGACGTGGAAGGTTTGGGCGAATTCCATAAACAATTTTGAAGTTATGATCTGGATTTGTTGAGTGATGGAAATCAATCAAATGTTCCAGAATAGAACTTCTACCAGACTTTTTATCATCTCTATAAAACCAAGTTAGAATATATTCTCGTATATGTGTAGGAAGCATTTTCCGCCTACGGTCGATATACTTTGCTTCATAAGAGCAGCTGAACTGGTATATGGACATACAGATGACTACACGAGGAAGCTCATCTTTCACGTAAATGGAGAATAGTTTACGTCTGGTAAAAGTCAGTCGAAGTCTTACTGTGAAGAAAGTTCTATTGATTGGTTTACATGGACGATTTTTGAGTACATCTGATGCTTGGTCACATTTAAATTCTACGTTCATAAACAATGTTTATTTTAAAACGGAGTCGGTGGCCGATTCGATATTGCTTTCCTTTGTATGAAACGGTAAGGATGATGAGGGTGATTTTTAAAAACATGTTTCTTATCTGACATAATCTAACCTACTTTGTTATCATTCATACGGCAACTCTTATTGTAATCTTTGAGATGAATGGGAAACCATTGGAAATCTGGGAGCACTGGACAATTGCTTCGCCCTACTATAGGAATCTTCAGCAGTACATACTTACGACCCGGCTAGGGATCAAACTCAGGACCTTCAGCCACTGGGTCACTTTTCAATAGTTCACAGTTTTCAACTTCTATCGATTCACGACCAGTAACAAGTATGCTGATTGTATACTTTAGATTGATAAAATTACTCGTGGTATAAAGGATGATACGAATGGTCAGAAAGACACGACAATGTAATGAGGTGTTCAGACAGATAGAAAGACAAAGTGGACCAAAGTTAGGAAAAGGACAGCAAAATTTCGTAGTACTAGAGGATGAATAAACGAAGTCTGTATGCGAATATAGTAATTGTGTGAATGGGATAACAAAAATAAAAAGAGAAACAAGTACATTTTAAAGTTCATAAGTAAGGTAAGTTTTCCCTAGCCAACAAACTGCAGACATACATCATCAACAGGCACCGCCTACACTCACTCCATACTGAAGATCAAATGGATGACCACAAAGAATAGGCAAGAAGTAACTCTGACTAGTAACGAACCAACCGTGAACCCATCGCTCAACAAATATACTGAAGAAGAAAGTGGAGATGAATTGGATTGGATTGGATTGAACATACACTAAGAAGATCGTTTGGGGATATCACCCACCACGTCAGGTCAGACAGTCGATTGGAAGCCAAATGGGAAACGAGGATTTGGGCGTCCGAGGTGAGGGTGACATGGAGGGGATAGTGTGAGGAAGAAGTGAAATGAAATGTTGTGGGCAGTTGTGGAGTCAGGTTGGCAAGACTGTATAGAAGAGAGTGAGATGGTGACATGCTACTAAATCCCTATGTTCCACTAGGAATCCAAGGGACAAATAATAATAATAATAATTGCTGCAAAATGTTGGCAACTGTGAAATACTGAAAACCGACTCGGTGGCTGAATGATTAACGAGTTCACCGTGAGACCTGTATGTCCTGAGTTCGATCCGGGTTGTGGGTGCGTACTGCTGAGGAGTCATATATTAGGGTGAAACAGTTGTTCAGTGCTCTCTCAGGTTTTCAATAGTTCCCTAACTGATATCAGTCCGTAATCATAACTACCTATATCGTCACCACTATTTTCACCGTTATTACCATTATTATTATTATCATTATTATTATTGATACTATCAATGTACAGTGCTTAATTTTCCCCATGGGATATAGCTTTTCAAATCGCTTATGTATACGAATATACAGCTTAAGAAGAATATCTTCGTTGACTTGACCTTGTTCCTAATATTGCAATCAGAGTTATTCAATTATTGAATGAAATAAGAAATAAGGTAATTATCTCTAATTTTGTTCAATTTTCAGATAAAATTAACGAATAACTATATGCAGTGTAAATGCAAAGCTGAAAAATACAACGTCTACTCTTTTCCTGAATCTTTATTTTTTCCTGTACTATTTCGTGTATTGAGTATTGCATAACAAAATAGTTGTGCTCAACACTGTTTATTGATTTTTTTTTTCTTTTTCATTATTGTATGATTTTATTACTATTTTAGATGATTATTTAATTTGTTTTTTTGTTGTTGTTGTGATAATGCATATTGATCCACAGATGTGTATATGTACTCACGTTGATTTTCATGAGTTGAACAGTATGTGTAGATAAACAGAATCTCTATTCTTCCTGTAGGCATGTAGTAGTTATGTGTCGTTAAGTGTACGACACAAAACCTCTTATCACACATATATGTATGTTTAGAAACTATTTTGTACCATACATACAATTTCTATGATTAAGCATATTACTTTTTCGAATGATGATGATGATTGTTCTTGTCCATGTAGGGCATAATATACTACTTTAATGTGTATAACTGTCTCCTGCTCAATCATCTACCCCCCCCCCCCCCTGTCCCCTGTCATAACTTTTACTTCATGATATGCGCTATTACATGATTTTTTGTATTAAACTGGCTATTTGATTATACTGTGCATGTTAAGAAGAATAAATTAATACTAATGATGCTTTTGAAATGAAGAAATTGAGCGATATTCTTCAGTATTAAATTGTTTCTTTTCAACTCTTTATTTGTTACAATACATAATTCGAAATTGTCTTGACCTCCTCAACTTTTGTTTTCTTATGTTTTATCAGTCTTCACTTTTCCATGTCTGGTGTTGTTCCCAATGAGACTATAATCCAGTATCCATCACATCAAATGCCAGAGCGTTATCCGCCAGGCCAGAGAGGAACGACAGTCAACTCTCGTACAACAAGTATCAGTTGTTGTTTTGATACTTATAAACTAACGCTTCTATAGAGGGCAGGATTGGGGCATCCACATGGGATCTTATCTTCTAACAGAGGTTGAGAAGTTCGAACCTGTGTAACAACAAGAGATAACACGTATCAAAGAAAAAACCGATACCTATTGAACAAGAGGTGGATATAGTGCCCTAAGCCTAGTGGATGACTCTTTGGCATTTGAAGTGTCGAGTACTGGGGTCAGGTTTCAATGGGAACAACACTCGCTAGGGTGCAGGTACATCCAGCTGACGAGTCCCAAATAGGACAACATGCGCATCCTCGATCCCACTGCTTGTCACCAACATGAATACAACGTCATCAACATTCAGCAGAATCGATGCATCCTCATAGGAGCCCATCTACCAATAGTGATTTACTCACCTTCAAAATTAATTATTCCTATTTCGTGTTCAGAGAATGATTAATCTACTTCGAAGCCGTTTGGAGAAAAACAATGAACGATAGTTGAGTAAACAGTGTAATGCTTTTTAATTTCTCTTATACAACTGACTAACTGACCGACTGACTGACAAAATCAACGTTAAACCTCGCACACAAGTACATCGGCTCTAGTTGCCACACTTCACAGTAGTATGCGAAAAAAAGTGGATAGAAAAAAGACTATAAAAGTAGACAAAGTTGTGTGAAAGAACAAACAATCTGAAGATAATAGTTATTATGAATACTCAAGATTTAGAAGATGTCAATAAGTGAATACATCTGCACTATTGTAACCAACTTTCAGCTATGTCACACAGAGTCCTCAACCAGTCATTCACATGTTCATGAAAACTAAGTAAGAATAAAAGTTTCCGTCTAGAAATGATGACTCGTATTTAAGCATCTTCATGAACAAGAAGTCAGATGTGCATTAATGGAAGTGGTAGAAGAATTTGTCTTCTAGGCCTTTAAATATCATTACTCAACAATTCTTCTATGTGGTGTATTATTGAAAGTAGTGTGTGACCATTTAGATTGACATGTTTATTACCGAGTGAATAATGAAATACCACTGTTAATTAAATGAAAAAAATTAACCCTGATTTCCTCGCTGAACACTGAATAATTTAGATTGAGTTTTGTGGAGATTGATCTATTTCAGAGTAGTATTCATTAAGGACTGATATCACTTGGAGAAACCTTGCAAACCTTAAAACAACGAACAACCGTTTCGTGCTAGAATAAAACTCCTCTGTAGTGCTGTTTAATGTGCATAAGTTAGATGCTTCGAGATAGATATCTCGAAGTTCTAAGGAGAAGCAGTGAACAGTAGAATCAACCAGCCAGAAGTGAAACGAATACCAACCGACGACTGTGGATGATTATAAATTTATTTTTTTACTATTAGTCCCTTGGATTCCTAGCAGAACATAGGGATTTAGTAGCACGTCACCATCTCACTCTCTTCTATACAGTCTCGCCAACCTAGATACACCACTGCCCACAACATTTCATTTCACTTCTTCCTCACACTATCCCCTCCATGTCACCCTCACCTCGGACGCCCAAATCCTCGTTTCCCATTTGGCTTCCAATCAACGGTCTGACCTGACGTGGTGGGTGATATCCCCAAACGGTCTTCTTAGTGTATGCTCAATCCAATCCAATCCATCTCCACTTTCTTCTTCAGTATATTTGTTGGGCGATGGGTTCACGGTTGGTTCGTTACTAGTCAGAGTTACTTCTTGCCTATTCTTTGTGGTCATCCATTTGATCTTCAGTATGGAGTGAGTGTAGGCTGTGCCTGTTGATGATGTATGTCTGCAGTTTGTTGAAAATGCTTTTCGTAACGCACCAAGTCTTTCAACCATATCGATGACTGACTTGACTGAATTAGTGTTGAAAATCCGAACATCGTTCACGCTTTATGCTGAGTGCAGTGCTAACTTGTTAGTTTGCGCCTGTACATCTAAGAGTTTGTGTGATATTAGACGTTAGACATAAATCATCATCGGTGAAATCCAAATCTTCTAGGATCTTTTCATAGGTCCAGTCAGCGTATGCCCATCTTCTTGCTCCTCACAGTTGTCTGTTGCATGATACACTCCAGTCCAGTCCAGTCTAGTTGACCATAATCAGGAAGATGATCGATGACAGTGGGTGTCAACCTTGTCTTACTCCTTCCTGTCTTCGCTTCGAAGGTATCACTCAGCTTTCCATTGTGTTGTGAATCACTTGGCATGTAGCATCACATAGCATTCAGCAAACAGCTGTTGAGTGAGGTTGCTGATAAATGTTTGTGGTACTCCGTAGTGCTGAAGCAAGCAGTTTCCAAATTACTTCTCAACCGATGCTATCGACGAACTTTTCAGCGTTGATGAAGTTGAGGTAAAGATCCAGTTGACTGCAATTCTATACTCTGTTTTATAGTGATGCGTAGTGTAGCGTTGTAATTTGATTCATACATGATTTGTTTTACCTGAAGTCAGCCAGCTAGCCAGTCTGTTCCGGTCGTCATTTTGAATCGAGTGCATTGTTTAGTCTGTCCAGGATGCTGTGGCTCAGTATTTTGCTTGGTGTGTATAGGAGCATGATTCCGAGTCAGTTCCTGCGAAGACGTAGGTCTCCCTTCTTTGGAAGTTTGACACGGTTGCCCTTCTTCCAATCAAGAGGTAGGTACCTTTTATTCCTTGCAAACCTGCAATGGTGGTGTGAGCATGTCCGCTGATGTGTCTGTGTCTGTTCTCAGTGCTTGTGGAGGAATTCCATTTGGTCCAGCTGCTTTCTCAGCTCCCAGCAACTTTATGGCGTTCAGGACTTCACTTCTACTTTTGTCGGAAGGTTTGTGTTCAGTGATAGTTCTATGGTTGCTAGTAGTGTTTCCGGATAGGTGGTGGTTGTAGTGGTCGATCCAAGAGTGTTTTAAAGTGGTCATCCCATAGTTTCCTCTGTCTCCCCTTTTTGGTAACTAAGTTTCCTGTATTGCGAATTGACAGAATTAGGATATTATGGACATCGACTCACTGGTTGACTGGTAATATGCTCACCGCGAGACCCGAAGTTCCCGACTTCGATCTCTAATGGAGTGGTAGTTGCATACTACTGAATAGTCTCATACTAAGAAAGAAACAGCTAGTCAGTAATCCCAGGTTTTCAATGGTTCTCTAACTGATGTCAGTCCATGATGAAGAACAGCCTTTAAATCAGTCAATCTTCACAAAACCAGTGTCTTAGAAATCACTTATTCACACCACTTTTAGGTTGACTAACTTTGTTGTTTTTATCCCGCTGATAAAGAACTTTGGTATAGATAGGAAGTAGGTATTCCCAACAATCCTGTAAATCAACTTAGTGGGTGAAAACCCTTAATCTCAGTCAACTCACTTTGTTTCCTTGTACCGAAAATCACTAACAAAGTCAGTCCAAAATAAATAAATAAACACATTTTCATTACTTCAGTAAGTTGCAGGTTAAGAAACCTTAATATCTGTCTGCTATGACGCAGCTATATCATCATGCTTTGGACTTTGACCTATTCAGACCCTTACAGACTACAACCTCAGTGATTTCACCGATAATAAAAGACCACCAGTCATCTTATCAGAGGATATCTTTGAGGTATGGTGATTCTTGAAGTGTAAATGCTACATTATGGCGTTGATTGAACACACGAATTGAAGCCAATCTGCTTGCCTGCTGGTTCTCAATGTCTTTGGACTTTAGAAAACGGACAAATTGCTTAGGAAACTTTCACATAAACTGAAACGTGCCATATTAGTAAACAGCTTAAAGGCATTAACCTTTCTTCCGAATGACTTAATCTCACTTCGAAGTAAAACCAAAACCATTCAGTTTGTAGTTAAAAGTCTATCACGCTAAATTTAAACTTAACCTTATTAAAAAAAGTATAAGTAAGAAGTTTTAGGATTATTTGGTATAATTTAACCTAATTAGAACACAGGTAATATCGAGGCATCCTCACAGAAGCCCATATACCAATAGAGACCAAGCAATTTGATCCAATCAACGACGGTATAATACAAGCAATTATACTAAAAGTATACCCGTCGAATAAGGAGTGGGTATTGTGGCTCGGTGGTGTAGTGGATAATCCTCCGACATTTGAAGCCATCTCTCCCGAGTCCGAATCCCAGCAGGAACAACGTGACTCACTGGGAGGCAGGTATATCCAGTTGACGAGTCCCAAATAGGAGGTAATGCATATCATAGATTCCACTGCTAGCCATTATCTATCTTTAGTATTTGGTACTGGTTAGCTTTGAAATTCACTGTATGGATTTTGTCTTACTTAGGACTAGATTGATGTTCTCAGTCTTAGTGAGTACTGGACTTCAAATGTTCTAGTTACCCCTGGAAATACAATAGCTGTGAAAATAAGGTTAGTAAATGATAATGCTCACCTTTTGCTGAATAGGGATTAGTTTCAATAAAAACTTTGGATTTCTTCAGATGTTAATTTTTAAGGACCGATTGGTAAGTAAACTGTTTATATGGACACCGCTTCAAATCTTTATAGTAATAATACACTTGTAAATGAATTTCGCCTTTGTAATAATTAAAAGACAGAGTTTGAAGCGAATACATATTTTCAGTAAATTTTCGTCAGGCTTTACATTTGCAAACAATTCAACATGGTCATTTGATATCAACATGATTAAACTAATTCGGGCAGATGAATTAGAAGACAACAGTAAATATGATAATAACAAAACAAATCTCGGAAATTATTATTGCTTGTATTATACCGTCATTAACTGAAGCGAATTGATCGGTGTCTGTTGGCGTATGGGCCCCTGTGCGAATACCTCGATACTGCCTGCGTTTTTAATTATATAGTAATGATGGGTACTG